ACCACCCTGTAAATTTGAGTTTTGTTGGTAAGTCTATGCTGCTGTTAGGATATAAATAACTCTGCTTTGGGAAATCCTAGTGCTATCATTTTAACCGCAAGTGTAGAATGTATCTTACTACATAAGAAAAGTGGTACCCTAAATATGATGATCTGTTCTTGGAGTTCTAGGATTTATTGTTTTTGTTTAGCAATATTATGTACTTGATGAGAATAAGGCTAATTTGTCCGCTAAACCAACCCCCACACCCCCGGTCCTCCCCAGCACAAAAGAAAAAAGAAACTCCATATACCTCCTTCCTTTTTAATTTTCTGTTTTCTGACTAGAGATACATGCAGGCTTTGCCTCGGTGCATGGTCAGAACATGGTGAGAGAACTGGTGGTTTTTATGCTTGCAACCGTTATGAGACAGCAAAGCAAGAGGGAGTGGTATGATGCTATTTATGCATTCTCTTCACTCCTGCATTATCATTTAATAGTTGGTGTTTATGTTCAGTATGATTGCTTGCAGTATGATGAGGCTGAAAAACGAAGAGAGATGGCTAAGAACTCGTTAGAGAGATATACACATTATTATGAACGGTGGGCAACTAACCAATCGGTATGTACAAGTTTATAAAATTGAGGTTGCCTTGAGTATGGCTGATAACATAGAAATCTGTCATGTGCCAAGAAGAAAAATTCTTTTGCTGACTCTTTCGCCAAGTGTGGGACTAGGTGTACTGATATTTTCTTTGTTTGGGTTTAGTGCAGTGAGTTTCTGCTGTGTAATTGGTTGTTCACTCTTTGGCCAAGAAGAAAAATTCTTTTGCTGACTCTTTAGCCAAGTGTGGGACTAGGTCTACTGATAATTTCTTTGTTTGGGTTTAGTGCAGTGAGTTTCTGCTGTGTAATTGGTTGTTCAGTCTTTAGCCAAGAAGAAAAATTCATTCCTTTTCTTTATTTTTTATTATTATTATTATTTTTTTTAATATACAATTGTATAATTGTGGTTATAGCTGGGATCGGGATTAGGGTGGGGCTGCTTAAGTGTGTTTTTCTTGCATTGATTAGTTTTGGCTCCTCTTTGGTCATTATATTTTATTGGATAGTGGAATAAGTTCATTTTCAATATTTAGAAACAAACCCACAACCTTTGAGAAGGAAAGCATAAGATATTATTCAAATTGTCAATGGTGAACAGACATAATTCTTGCCTGGTAATGCATTTTCTCATTGCATTAATGTTGTGTATTTGTTGTGATGATACAGACACACCCATGTATAAGCCTCACAGGAAAAGAATGTGTATTTCCAATTATTTGTCATCCCTATATCATACAGTATGTTGCTTCTGCTTGGATATCTTTTCTGAGAAAATAATGTTTGCATGAGTGTTTCCATCCATGCATGTGCAGGTGCTCACAAATACAAAAACAAAACATATATCTTTGCATTTTTTGCACTGCTTGGATTGGGTAGTTGTATTGAGACTTTTGCTGATACATCTAAAAGTTCAAAACCCCTGTAGATGATCAGCACAAGCACATAAACACACCACGCTTATTCTATCTTTTTCTTCATTTGATTGGCTTGCATTTTCCTTCTGGAGATACTCTTTTGAATTAAAGAAAATTTTTTCCAGGAAATAGTTGGGTTCTGTGCACTTAATTGTGCAAATTTGTTATGGGCAACCGGACATATCCTCTATTACTTATGCTGTACTTTAGTTTCCTCTTTTTCTTATTTGGTTTGGAGTATAGGGATATCCTATGTACTCTTTTATCCTATTAATGATTTCATTATTCATCATCACCAGGAAAAAGAAAAAAAGAGAAGACGAAATTTTCCATTATGCTTGACATCTTTTCTTCTTTTGTTGCAGTCTAGGCAAAAGGCATTGACAGATCTACAACAAATGCAAACTGTGAATGTAAGTAACAGTTTTCATGGATGGTAATTTCTATACAGTGACTGTTGGTGTCATATATGTTGGGAGGACAAATGAGAATCCATAATCCTGATTTTGATGGGGATGCATATTTTCTAATGCCTGTCTGGTTGCAATAAGATCCACTGGTTAGAAGTCTTAAATTACATTTGAAAACTATAAATTTTGGGGAACAAATATTTTTTGTTTCTGAAACAAGAATCTATTTATTTCTGTAAAATCAGCAGTTGAAAAACGTTCTAAGAAATTGGTGAGGAGAAGTTATAACTCAGAAATGTGCACAATTTTGCTCTATCACTTTTGGAGAGTGTTGACGATCATTTTTTTGTTTCTGTAGCTAGAGAAGCTGAGCGACATACAATGCCAACCTGAGTCACAGTTAAAGTTCATCACTGAAGCTTGGCTACAAGTATAGTCCAAAATTACAAGTTCTTTGTTGTGGACTTAATTTACACTTGCACATACTCATCCCATCTTCTCTACTTCCGTAGATAGTTGAATGTAGGAGAGTTCTAAAATGGACATATGCCTATGGATACTATTTACCAGAGTATGAACATGCAAAGAGACAGTTTTTTGAATACTTGCAAGGTATGTTCCCCATCACGAAGTTGACATTATATCCAATTTTGTAGTTTTAACAATTCTTGTTATGTTATGCAGGTGAAGCTGAGTCTGGCTTGGAACGACTTCATCAATGTGCAGAGAAGGAGCTACAAGTTTACCTCAGTGCAGATGGCCCATCAAAAGATTTCAATGAGTTCCGCACTAAACTTGCTGGGCTAACAAGGTGATGCTAATTTTTAAACATGTTCACCATCTCAATTCTCTTTAAAACTCTGTATCATTTAGAACTTGTAGCAAAGAAATTATCAGTTCTGTAACTTAATATAAATAATCAATGATGATTTGTGACAACAGTGTGACCCGAAACTACTTTGAGAATTTGGTTCGAGCTCTTGAGAATGGGCTGTCAGATGTGGACTCTCAAGGTAACTGTAGCCGGACAGGGACCTCCAAGAGCATGGGAGGTGGAAGCAGTAGTAAGGGAAGAGGTGGTAAGGGAAAAGGTTCAACATCCAGATCCAGTGGCACCAGAGGAAATAATATTGATGATTCAACCCATTGGTCCTGTGAATACTGCACCTTTGCCAATTTCAAGTCAGCCACTGTTTGTCAGATGTGCCAGCAACGTCGGTAGATCTCACCTCATATGCAACTTTATCCGCCAGGATGGGAACTTGGGATTTTGTCAACTTTGCCTCCTTTGATGTCTAGTTGTGATGGCATAATCCAGAAAAAAATGGATCTTAACATTTCCATCAAAACCCAACTTGCAATGGTAAAGAGAGTGGGATTTGGGACGTGAGTGTGGTGAAGGGGGAAGAGAGTCCACTAAGTTTGCACTGTTGCAATTTGAGATTGTATACATTTCCTTTTGTTCAACCCCCCGACTTGTATCTGGTACCACGACCCTTGCTGATGTATTAATGTAATGTGTAATCTTATGATCATTTATTTATGCTACAAATTATGTTTGTAGCAAAGCCTGAGTCTTTCAAGTGGGTTGTAATGTAACAGCTAGCACGGATTGTAGGCTGCACTGTTCCCCTAGTAAGAATGAAATAAGAAAACCTTTATATCTTGTCCCAAAATTCCAGATTTAATGTGTTTGGACTGTGGAACTGACTTTAATTTTCTTACATTTGCATGAAGTCTTTTATTTGGTTGCCACGTTTCCTTAAACTTACGAGGAATTATTTTGTTGTTTTTTAATCGGGAAAGATTTGCAAAGAAAAATATTTGCCCCTGCCGAAGTTGAGTTCTGACGTGTTCCTCTAATGAGAACATTCATTGTTTGGTTGTGGCTTGTATCGTGAGAATTACAAACGTGCACGAAAAGTTTCATGTGTAGTCTTGTAATAAATTATAGATTTTATTTTATTTTAGTACATAGAATCAAGTTTTGCATTCTTCAAATTTAATTCTTTCTTTTGGGGATTTTAAGGGTATGGTTCGTATGTTGGTGCTTCAAGACTTAAGCATTGGTCTAATTTATAAAATGATATTTATTTATTAATGGATAGAGTTTGTACTAATTCAAAATAATCAAGCAAAAAAAAAAAAATATTAATGTCAACCAAGATCAGCAAAAGTCTATATCAAAATTAAAACAAAACAAACTTCTATCAAAATTGGAGGAATCATAATTATTTGGTGATAATAACTTCGTCCCACCACACTCATCTTCAACCTTCTCAGCTATTGTGTGGTTTAGTTAGTATTAATTTAAAATTTTTAATTTAAAGTGAAGGTTTGAGATTTAAATCAAGATACATTAAACCATCTCATCATGCTTACTATATAATGGATTTGATTCTATTACTATTCTAATAGACAAAATTGACACTATTAGTTATGCGATTTAATAATAGAGTCACTTATATTTTTAATCATAAATTTAGGATTCAATTTTTAGTTTTTACATATAAAAAAAAAAAAACAAAAAGATAAAATTGATTAACTGATGATGAAATGATTGAGCTATGCCTAATCTCCTGAAATCTATCAAGATTAAGTACTGAATATAGGTATAGAATGGATTAACTGATTATTCTTGTTCATTCACTAATAGTTCGGTTATGACTCTTTGCTGTAACTTAGTAAGGAGCAGTTGTTTGCTTTGTCTGGAAGTCCAAGAGCTTCCTACAAGTGTAGACTGTGAGCAAGGTCAGGTTTGTATCTGCCTAAAACTGTAATATGGCTCAAGGTTTCTTGAAATCTATTTTTGGTCATTTTTGTGAATTGTTTATAACAACTAATTGAAGATGAACCCATTTTCTCTGTATGTATAATCTGGACTTTAGACGTAAACTAAACTATGATTTCTAGTTTTAAGCCAATCATTTTAAATCCATGCTTCCTAAGCCACTCTATGATTTCCATGGCTAAAAACAGTTTGTGGTAAATGATTTAGCTGTTTTGAACTCTCATGATGTCAAAACTCTATCCAACTGCCATATTTCCGACCTTACTGTATTTCTCTCAAAGTTTTCCTTAGCTTCTTTGTAGGCTCGTAGGATATACCTGGACGTCCGTCAACCAAGGAATGATGTTTAGCCTGAAATTTGCAGTTAAGAGTTTCCTGTTTTGGCAAAGCTTATATATAAGCTCTGTAGCTTTTAAGCTCCTTCATCTCTACATTTTGAAATTTTATTGTAAGAAGTAGTTCTTCAGTTTTTAGCGTGTTTAAAAACAAGTTTAAAATAAGCTCCACTTTGTAACTTTACAGAGAAGTTGCTTATAGGCTCTTCATGTGGTTGAAATCTCAATTTCCACTCAAATATTTTCGAACTTGAAAGATAAAAAGTTGCTTGTAAGTTGGGAGCAACTCTTCGGAAAAAAGGCTACAGAAAAAGCCTTAGACTTAGACCCGTTTGGTATAGCAGTTTTGGGATAGCGGTTAGCAGTTTTACATAAACTGCTAAATATATGTGTTTGGTAAATTTATATATTTGGAAACTGTTACAAATAAAATGTTTAGTAAAATTTTTATTTAGCGGTTTAAGATTAGTGGATAACGGTTAGAGTATAAATCGCTAGCGGATTGAAAAAGCTAGTTTATGTAGTTTTTTGCATCAAACTGTTAGTGGATTAAAATTTTTTAATTTTATTGATCAATTTATCCATTTTAATTTTTTAATTTTTGGTCACATTTTTTCATTAATATTTATCTAATAAATTTCAATTTTGTTTTTTACCTTTAATAACATTAAGTGATTATAATATTTTTTTTGTCCATTAATTTATAATTAAAAAATATATTATCTTCAAAAACAAAATTTGTTAATTAGACAAAGTGATTAATTTTTTATTTAAAAATAATATAATTTTTTCTGTTTTAAAAATAAAAATGAGATTGTAATTACATTATTATAATTAATTTTATTTATTTATTTTATTATTATTATTTTTATAAAATTAATAATTTTAATAATAATAATAAAAATATTTAAAAATTACGCTTATTTATTTTTAAATATGTCATTATTAATCATTTAATGTTAAATAGCAACTGTTAATTATTGTATAGCCAAACAGTTATATTTATCGAATCCACTATTTACCATCCGCTACCCACTTTCCGCTATCTACCATCCGTTATCCGCTAACTACCACCCGCTATCTGCTATCGGTATCTACTATCTACTACCCGCTATCCGCTATCTACTGAATTTTAACCACTGTACCAAACGGGCCTTTAATCTGACAGTACTGCATTGTAATTGCAACGATAAATTTTTTGAGTTTTTTAATATCTTTA